CCCGGGATCTGCTGTCAGCTGTGGGCACCTAGGGGCATGTTGGTGTTGCCAGGACCACGTAGATCTTTTCTTTTGCCCCTAGGCATTCCCTCTTCCATGTCTGGGATAGGCATGGGGAAAACCTGGTTTCCACCTGCCCCCAGCCCTGCTGAGACATTGAGCAATGAGAGGGGCCCCCAGGGGAGGCTGGAACGTGGTCAGGGCAGAACCCAAACACCCATTTAGCTGCCAGGATCCCGAGCTGAAGAGTGAGTCACTGTTGGAGGCTTAGGAAGGAAGGATTGGTGCTGAAGCCCGAAGACGACCCCACATGTCCTCACACCCTCTGCCATCCCTCCCCCAGCCCCCTGACCACGTGCTCATTCTGCACACACTAGGCCTAAATCTTGGTCCCCGAAGGATGCTACCTGGGCTCAGCATTGCCGCTGGAGGGCCAGGTGACACAGACCTCCTCAGCTTCCTTCCTCCCCACTCACTGCTGTCTGCATCTGCCCTCTGCCTTCCTGTCTGTGTCCAAGAAGGCGAGCCCTTCCTCTCCCGGCCCTGTCTGCCTGCTCCCGACTTGTACCCGCAGCCTCCCTCCCTCGGTGTTCCCCTCTTGCCCCGTGGCCTTTCGAATCTCTCGAGCTGCAGCCTTCTCCTTGGCTTCCCAAAGACTCCGAGCTCTCGCACCTTCGGGAACCAAAATCCAAGCCAGACCACTGTCTCTGCTCCGTGCGGTTGGCATGTTTGCTGTCGTGTGGATGATAGCGAGCTTGGGCTTCCCACAGGTCTGGGTTCACCCTCTTGATTCTCCGGCTGCCCCTCTCCGTGACCTCCCCTTGGTCACTTCCCCTCATCTGTAAAATGGACATAGTGACATACGCGGAGAGGATGAAAAGTAATCAGGCCTGCACAAGACTGGGCGGGAATAAGGGCAGGCAGGCAGGCACCACTCCCCTCCCCCCAAGGGAGACCGTCAACGCCTGCTGCTAAGCAGGGGCGGGATGTACGTATGTGTGCACCTGTCCCCAGTCCACCTCTCCAACTCTGATCATGTCAGCAGTCGTGAATGACAGTCCCCGCGTCTGCTTTGTTGAGCACCTACCATGGGTCAGCCACGAGGCTGATTTCTTAGTGTCCTGTGACATCCACTCACCCACCCTGCTGGTGTGCTGAGTGCCTCGCGTCCCCACGCGGGGACCCGAGACTGTTCTGGCTTTTTTTTTTTTTTTTTTTTTTTTTTTTTTCAACGTTTATTTATTTTTGGGACAGAGAGAGACAGAGCATGAACGGGGGAGGGGCAGAGAGAGAGGGAGACACAGAATCGGAAACAGGCTCCAGGCTCCGAGCCATCAGCCCAGAGCCTGACGCGGGGCTCGAACTCCCGGACCGCGAGATCGTGACCTGGCTGAAGTCGGACGCTTAACCGACTGCGCCACCCAGGCGCCCCTGTTCTGGCTTTTTGAGCACCATCCCCTTTCTCTTCATGCCCGAATATGGCAGATCTTCTCTTCATGCTAACATCTTTATCTTACATATTGTTTCCCACGTGTGTTTCCCATGTGTGAAGAATTCCGAAATGGTACTGAAAGCCGCCTGGGAAGGAGAGGGTCTCCCAGCCCTTCCTGCATGTCCCATTTCTCACATGGTCACGGTTACCATTTTCTTTGTGTCTTGGCTCAGAAAATTTTTAACCCAAATATAGTCATCTCTGAAAACCACCCGTGTTCTCTTCCAGTTTCATGGTGTGTGCATAGATCTGTGATCCCTCGAGGATTAGGTTCGGTAGGCACCCAGCTTGGGTTTTTGCGTGTCTTTTTTTAATGTGGTGTTTTTTTGTTTTTGTTTTTGTTTTTTTGAGAAAAAGCACACACGTGTGCACGAGCTGGGGAGGAAGAGAGAGAGAATCCCAAGGAGGCTCCGTGCTGTCAGCGCAGAGCCCAGCACGGGGCTCATACCCACAAACTGTGACCTGAGCCAAAATCAAAAGTTGGACGCTTAACCGATTGAGTCACCCAGGCGCCCCCACAACTAACTTTGTTCCTTTGCTGGCCGTGGCCGTTGAGTGATCCACCTTCCTCCCGTTGGCTCTGAGGAATTAGCCATTAGTTCCCACCTGCCCTTCATGTGGTTTTGGACTTTTTTCTTTTCTGTTCCATTCATCTCTCCAGACGTACATGCCCCGATGTACCCAACCTTTTCAAATGTAACAGGTTTTAATACCAGGCAAGATGAGGTATTCCTAACTCGGCCTTCTTTTTGAAGTGGTTTTCTTACTTGTCTTTATTAAAAAAAAAAAAAAATTTTCTTTTTTTTTAGTGTTTATTTACTTTTGAGAGAGAGAGAGAGCATGAGCAGGGGAGGGGCAGAGAGACGAGGAGACACAGAATCCGAAGCAGGCTCTAGGCTGCACAGCACAGAGCCCGGCGCAGGGCTCAAACTCACCAACCATGAGATCATGACCTGAGCCGAAATCGGATGCTTAACTGACCGAGCCACCCAGATGCCCCTTCTCACTTGTCTTTAAAGCACAGTTTGTGGGTTTTGTCTTCTCCAAAGCTTTTCTCCGTCCCCCGCCTCACATTAGGCCGGGCGTCACCCCTCTCCTGCAGACACTTCTGTTGCTTTCCAGGACCGCACTCTGCGTTTGTGTTCTCCCAATTTCTGAGTAATGAGTGGGGCTTGTGGCCCAGTCCGCGAGTGACCTGTGGGACAGGGTCCCTGTCTGTGCCTGCACCTGGCCCAGCCCCGTTCCTGGTCCACGGTGGGCATTCCGGGCACCTCGGCTCACCTGGCACGGCCCCTGCCCCTCTCCTCCCGCAGGCTACATCGGTGTGGTGAACCGCAGCCAGAAGGACATTGAGGGCAAGAAGGACATCCGCACGGCACTGGCGGCCGAGAGGAAGTTCTTCCTCTCCCACCCAGCCTACCGGCACATGGCTGACCGCATGGGCACCCCACACCTGCAGAAGACCCTGAACCAGGTACAGCCGGGATTTTGTGCAGGTGCAGTCCACAGTGATGCTGGCCTCGGTCTAGAGCCAGCGCGCGTTTTAGCAAAATGAGTTCAGTCCACATCTGATTCGGGGCCCGGTGGAGAGTGGGTATTCAGTAAGCGGGTCGTGGCACTGTTCCTGTCACGGTTACTGTTCCTGTTATTTTAATTACCGTTGTAATGATCTAGTCACGTACCCAGAAGTTTGCGTACGTTACAAACGCCTGGCCGGCACTGAGGCAGGGTGGCCAGGAGTGCCGGACGGGACCTCGTCGGGAGCGCTGTAGAGCCTGACCTTCTTGGGTCCGAAGCCCACCCCAATCCCTGACTGGGTGGCCCAGCCTCTCTGAGCCTCTGTCCTCTGTTCGTCAGTTGGGAACCATCACCGTCCCTGCCCCCCCAGGGCTGCGGCGTCCGCTAAGTGCTCAGTGCGTGCGTTGCGTGAAACACAGCAGGTACCAGATGCTGGCCTCTCCTGTATTGCACTTTCTACCGCTCTCTTGTTTTTCTACACGGAATGCATTCATAGGGTTTATGAACAACGCAGGTATCGATACCCGTGCGGCGAGGTGCCCCCTTCTGCCCCTTCCTTCCACCCCCGGGGCCCCACAGTTGGTACTGCCTGCGTTTCTTTCTGTCCATAGAAGCGAAAAGGACTTCCGAGAATCACTGCTCTCCCTTTCTTACTGTAAATGACGCCATGCGCCCTCCCCACCCCTTGCTTTTGAGGATTTTTTGCTCAGCACTATCTCCTGGAGTGCTGGGTGTGCAGAAAAGAACCCTTCCTCACTCCTTTTCGCGGCTGCATACTGGTCTCTGAATGCAGTCTGTTCAGCCGTCTCTTTTTGGAGACTGACTCCATCTTCTCGTCTTCCTGGTGCATAGAGGCCGCCGCTAGTAACATGATAATGACCTCATCTTGTGCCCCTGTCGATTTCTCTGGAGAGGAAAGTCCCTGATGGGGGATTGCGGAGTCTCACTGTCACAGACGCTGCCTGTCCTCAGCGTCTGTCCTGGTTTGCCCATCCAGGGTGGCAAGACCTTCCCCTTTGAGACTTTGTGGCAGCTTCCTGGAAGGTGGGAAGGCATCAGAGCAACAGTGAGTCGTTTCTTCGCGTATGCAGTGGGGACACAGGGGTGACACAAGAGCAGGGCTCTGTCCTCGGGGAAGACATTTTTCTAATGGGGGGGGGCGGGGAACAGATTCGGAACAAGTCACCAGATGAATGCATAATCAGGTGTTAGGTAGCAGCCAGGCCATGAAAAGCTGGTGCAGGACAGGAAGGCAGAGAAGGCAGCTCAGGGGCAAAGAGGAAAGTGTCCTGTGGGAGGGGCCCTCCAGGAAAGGAAGCAGTGGGCCTGGGCAGAGGGCTGTGGGAGAGAGAGGAAAGGAAGTAAAACCCCCTTGCAGGTGGCAGGGGCCTCCTGTGGGAGCCGGCACGGGGCCCGGCTGACCTCCTGGGATGCGGCTCTGCATCGGGGCACTTCTTGGGAGCTGTGGCCCCCCTGTCCCCGTTTTCCCTGTAAACGAAACGGGGCCACTCTCGTGCTCTAAGACGCGATCAGACAGCAGAGGGAAGGTCTGCGGGGCGTGTGGCTCAGATCCCCACCCCAGAAGGCATGCAGGCCCCACAGGGGGTCTGGGACAGTGCCCCTGGCCACAGAGGGTGTCAGAGGGACTGTCAGAATCCTGCCACAGAGTGTGCTGAGCTGGAGCCTGAGGCTCCCTCACACCTTTTTTCAAGCTTGAGGGATACTCTAAATTCTTGTCTGGTGTGGGACAGATGACAGCAAAATGCTTCTTTCCGTTTTTAGCGTACTAGCTGCTTTTATGGCTTTTTGTTTTGTTCCCTCCCTCTCTGTCTCTCTTTTCTCTCTTTTATTGTAGTTAAAAGAAAAAAAAAGTCCCACAGCCCAAATATAGTGAATATCTCATTTCTTCCCATCTGGTGGTGGGTCCCTTCCTGGGAGTTGGCCAGTGTCACCACTAAGTGGGCTTCCTTCTAGAGACATTCAGGGCCTGGAGAGGCCACTGTGTCTGTGTCTTCCTCCCCTCCCTCCCCACTCCCCCTCCTCCTTCCTGTCCCTCCTCCCTCCTCCCTCCCTGTCCTTCTCCAGCTCCCTCCTCTCCCTCCTCCCACCTCCCTGCTCCTCCCTGTCCCCCTTTCCCTCCCCTCCCCTCCCCCTCCCCCCTTCTTTGCCTTCCCTTCCCTTTGTTTCTTTTGACACCTGAACAACCTTGTATTTGTGTGCCGTGTACCATTCTCCCTTACTTTTTGTCTCCCCACCCATCCTGAGGCTCGTTCTCTAACCTCATCTGCCGTGCCGCTTCCTTTTACAATTTGTGACTGCTTAAATCCACGTGATTCGGAAGCAGAGCAGGAGAGAAGGGGCCGCAGAGGTGTCCCCCTTCCCACCCGCCTGCCCCACTCCGGCCTTTCTTCCACATTTGTTTCCTGTGATGCTTCCTTCTCTCTGTCCACACGACTAAAAATATGTTCTTACTTTCTCCCTGTCTTTCACAGAAGGGAGCACACATCCTGCATCCGTTCTGTGCCTTCCCTGGGGAGCTGTTTCTGCCTTAGGTTGTGGGGCCTGCCTGAGCCTCTCCCTGGAGCACCCGTGGGAGGCTGTTCTGGGTCAGCACGCGGTGTGCCATGTGTACCCTGTGGCCCAGAAACCCTGGTTATCTGCCCGGCGCAGGCCCAGGGGGCTGCTCACAGCGTCCCGCTGCTGGGGGCGGCACGTGTCCCCTCTCCTGGTCCCGTGCGCGGGTGTGACTCCTGTTGCTTCCTCTCAAAGGCCGGGGGGTGCGCCGGGCGCAGGGGGCCATCCCGTCCTCAGCCCCCTGCCAGTGCGACTAGGCCTGCCCCTTCCCAGCATCCTGCCTGTGCTGACCTCTGGCCTCTCTCTGTCCCACAGCAACTGACCAACCACATCCGGGAGTCCCTGCCAGCCCTGCGGAGCAAGCTGCAGAGCCAGCTGCTGTCCCTGGAGAAGGAGGTGGAGGAGTACAAGAACTTCCGGCCCGATGACCCCACTCGCAAAACCAAAGCCTTGCTGCAGTACGTGTCTCCCACCCTCTGCCTGGCTCGCCGGGGCCTCTGGCCGGCCGCGGGGTCCTGGGTCTGGGCTGGGTGCCGATCCTCATCCATCTGTCCACCCATCCATTCACTTAGCAGACATCCTTGGGGAGCCTCCTGTGTGCCAGGCCCTGTCCTGACACTGGAGCCGCCACACTGGGTGGGGCAGCCAGCCAGCCCTGCCCCCACGTGCTCAGAAAGCAGGGAGGGAAGGGATGGGACCGAAAATGAGTAAATAAGAAAACGAATACTGTGTTAAATGATGAAATATTATTGTTGGGAAGAGGCTGGGGTGCCAGGATGGGCGTGGGGTTGCCATTTAAAATAGAGTGGTCTAGGGGCGCCTGGGTGGCTCAGTCGGTTGAGCATCCGACTTCGGCTAGGGTCATGATCTCGCAGTTCGTGAGTTCGAGCCCCACATCGGGCTCTGTGCTGACAGCTCGGAGCCTGGAGCTTACTTCGGATTCTGTGTCTCCCTCTCTCTCTGCCCCTCCCCTGCTCATGCTCTGTCTCTCTCTCTGTCTCAAAAATAAATAAAACATTAAAAAAAAATTTTTTTTTTAAAATAGAATGGTCTAGAGGGCCGCCCTGAGACAGTGAGAGTCAGGCAAAGACCTGAAGAGGTCAGGGGTGGGGCCCGGAGGTGCAAAGGTCCTGAGGCAGGACAGCACCCTGCAGTGTTGGAGGAAGCTATGTGGCAGAACAGAACGAGTGAGAGGAGAGTGTGAAGTAGGGGTAGGGTGGAGGAGGGGAGAGCAGGGAAGGGACAGAGCAGAGAGCATTCAGGTCTTTGTGGGCCACAGGGAGGAATCAGACTTTTGCTGTCAGGTGGGAGCCAGGGAGGATTCTGAGCATAGGAGGGACGGCCTGATTCAGGTGTTGACAGGCGCCCTCTGGTGGCTGTGGGGAGGACAGACATGGGGGAACAGGGTTGGGAGCCTGGCCCCGTGCCAGCTTTTTATGCTCTGTCTCTTGGAATTCTCACCCTGACCCCGAGCGGATGCCCACTGGCCCAGCTCAGAGCTGACGGGGACTCTTTGAAGCCACCCAGCTGTGAGGTGGGGCGAGGGTTGGTGTGCCCCACAATACCAGGTTCTCTCTCGAGGCTCCTCCTGCCTCTGTACTCCCGGTTTCTGGCCTGCAAGGAGCCCTGGGCACTTAGTTAGAGTGGGATCCAGAAACTCCCTGGCAGCTCATGAGGCAGAGGGTCCCACACATATGACTCCTCCCACGGACACACCAGAGGAACACCACCCATAGTGGCCACATCCTAACCCTGATGTCCCCCCATCCTCTGCCACGCGGCACTGCATGGTGGGTTCGGGGGTGAGAATGCTTTGATGCTCAGACTTAACACTATTCATTTCTTGGGGGACAAAAGCTTGTTGGGATCTGAGACACCCCGCGCCTGCCCCCCTGCCAGGTGTTCGGGGAGAACCCATTCATCAGCGGCCAGGCCCGGCCTCTCACCGGCACCAGCCGGACTTGCCCACAAGAACTGGACATCTCTTCGCCAGCAAGCTGGGCTTGGGCCAGTAGAGGCCAGTAGAGGTCGGTCCCTTGACCACAGTAGCTCCTGTTCAGGGCAGACTGTGCGCAGTACTGGAGATAAAGAGTTTGGGGGGCGGGAATGATTAAGACAGATGGTGCAAGAGGCTGGGAAAGCAACTAGAAATGCTAAGGAAAACCAAACACTAATAAATACTTGACTTCCCTGCTGCACACGCGATCACAGGGCTCATTGGCAACACTCAGAGACTTTTGTAAGGGTTGGGCCGGGTTCCCAGGGCCCATGTGTGGTATTAACATATTTCATCAACCACGTCAGTGCTTTATTTTTATTACTACTTTCTTTTTTAATGTTTATTTCTTTGTATGAGAGAGAGCATAAGCTGGGGAGGGACAGAGAGAAGGGGGGACAGAGAATCCGAAGCAGGCTCTACGCTCTCCTAGCTGTCAGCACAGAGCCCGATGCGGGGCTTGAACCCACAAACCATGAGATCATGACCTGAGCCGAAATCGGACGCTTAACCTACTGAGCCACCCAGGTGCCCCTTATGGGAGCACTTTAAAAAAAACAAAACAAAACAGGGGTGCCTGGGTGGCTCAGTTGGTTGAGCCTCTGACTTCGGCTCAAGTCATGATCTTGCAGTTTGTGGGTTCAAGCCCCGTGTCGGGCTCTTGTGCTGACAGCTCGGAGCCTGAAGCCTGCTTCGGATTCTGTGTCTCCCTCTCTCTCTGCCCCTCCTCGCCTCACGCTCTGTCTCTCTCTCTTTCAAAAATAAATAAATATGTAAAAAAATTAAAACATTTTAACTTTTCTGAACTCAGAAGCTTTAGGTGAATTACCACTAATTGGCTGCATTCTTTCTTTTTTGTGGGGGTACCAATGAATAGTGCTGCTTAGGATTGGTGATTCCTTGGAGTGGATAAAAAATCGAAACTCCTTGAATCCTCACAATGACCCTATGCAGAGACTTACCATGCAGATGAGGAAACTGAGGCTCGGAGGGGCAAAGCCACTTGTCCAAGGAATCACAGCAGTCATTGGCAGAATCCACCTGTGTTGTGTGGAGGGGCTGCTTTTTCACTCACAGTTCTGCCTGATCAAGGCAGAAGTTGCTAAGCTGTGACCCTCCCCTCCCCCGTCCTCACTCTTGCTGTCTGCAAAATGGGAGTAATAATGCTACCCAACCCCCTCCAATTCAGTGAATGAATAATCCTAATGGGCCTGGCACATAGTGATTGCTTGCCATCGGCAGCCCTGTATCTTACTTGTTTTGTATGCATCTTGGTGCTAAAAAGTGAAAAGGAGTGTGTAAGCCACAGCTTGACCCGGAACATAATTCTGGGTCAGAACCTCCCCTCTGACGTTCAGGTTTCCTTTTCCCCCCCCAGGATGGTCCAGCAGTTTGGGGTGGACTTCGAAAAGAGGATCGAAGGCTCTGGAGACCAAGTGGACACGCTAGAACTCTCCGGGGGTGCCCGAATCAATCGCATCTTCCACGAGCGGTTTCCCTTTGAGCTGGTGAAGGTAGCACCGCTGGGCGGGGCCCTCCTGACCGGGGTCAGGCCCCCTTCTGCACAGCTTCCGGCCGGCCGGGCCTCCTCCTGCCTCCAGGCGTCTGCCTGCTGGGAGCAGAGGTGGTGGAGGTGGGGAGGGTGTCCCCTTTGGGCCCTCCTTTCCTGAGCAGGCAGCTTAGAGGTATCCAGCAGACCCGAATGAAAGCTCCATTTTCTCTCTCTGACAAAAACCAGCACACGTCCTTTGCAAAATACGTAGAGCACAGAGGTAAATTCTCGTAGGAAAATGGCCTCATCGTGTCGATGGGAAAAATAAGCCGGCCAGGGAGCCAGCATGTGCAGCGAGGCATGTAGATAATATTTACAGCACCCTTCCACGTGAAGGGGCGCGTCTGGATGTGTGTCTTTATGTAGACACATCTACAAAGATGCACAAAAAAAATGTCAGCTCTGGGCCCTGGGATTTGAGATTTTTTTGTTGTTGTTGTTAATTAGCTTGAAGTTGTACACTTTTCACCACGAGCACTTACCATTTTTGTAAAAAACAGCGAAGTTCTTTTCAATGAAAACAAAAGCTAAAGGGGGGCAAACACCCATAATCCCAGTACCCGTAGACAACATCTGTTAGCACCTGGGTGTCCGTCCTTTCCCGATTATTTCTGTGCGAGTGGGTAAGTGCCCAGCATATACAAACACAGCACGTATACTCATCCATACTTAAAAAACAAACGAATATGGCTCTGTACGTTGTTTTTTCACGCGGTGGCCATCTTTCCAAACCAGTTATGTATATTTCATGTGTTGTTAATGACACAGTAGTATCTTATCTTACGGATGTCCCATTGGACGTTGAGCCAGTCTCTCATCAGTGGACATTTAGGTGGTTTTCACATTCTTCAGCAGTTACGAATAGTTCTACAAACGTCACTAATTCTTACTAATTCCTGTTGGTAGATTTCTACAACACTTAAAACTGCGTGAAAGTAGCTGTGTTTGGAGGTCCTGACTGGTATTGCAAAGTAGCCCATAAGAAAGTTCATGTGAATTCACGTTACCTCTGGGAGAGGGCGAGAGTGTTCATTTCAAGCCATCCTTGCTGAAATTGGGTTTTAATGTTTTGAAGAATTTTGGTCTAGTGCGATAGGCCGCCGTGTGAAAACAGACACACGCAGGACACGTAATGTTCCCCAAATACGCACCTGTTGTGGGGGTGCCGCAGGCGCTTCCTTGCATGTGAGTGATTTGTCTGCTCTCAGATGGAGTTCGACGAGAAGGATTTACGGCGCGAGATCAGCTACGCCATTAAGAACATCCACGGAGTCAGGCAAGTGCCGAGGGGAGACTTGCCACGTTCCCTTCACCTACCTCTGCGGCACCGTCCTCCAGCCAGTTGGTCCCCCATCCCTCTGGGTGCCCTGACTGTGAGGGCTTGAGTGGGCTCCTGGGTGGTTTGTCAGTAGCTTTAGAAGTCTCTCCCCATGGGTCTCCAAGGGCACTCGAGGGCAGGTGTGCTGTCTTGTGTGGATCTATTGTAGGCCACGGGGCCATCTGCTGCCCATAGGTTCAGCTACACGTAGGTTCAGCTGCCCAGTCAGTTGGCATGAGCCCAGCTATGAAAGTTCACTGTAGATTTGCCCCCGGGGGTTGGGGGAGTCAGACCTGAGTCACGATTACAGGAACCCAGCATGTGTCCCCATCACAGGGCTCCCGTGAGACTCCTAGGTCCCCTCGATTATCCGACAAAAGTAGGCACTCTGGTTGTACAGTCTTACATCACCATGGCGTCCTCAGGACTCCCTGTGGGTTTCCAGGCAGTGGATGCAGGCGTCCAGCCCCCAGACTTGCTGTGACCTTGGCTCATTCTCGGGGACCTGGCCCATGCCTATGAAATTGCTGACCGTGCTTTGTTTCTCTCTGACTTATCTCCCCTGCCCCCGGGTACGGATGGTTTTAGGACCGGGCTCTTCACCCCGGACTTGGCATTCGAGGCCATTGTGAAAAAGCAGGTCGTCAAGCTGAAAGAGCCCTGTCTGAAATGTGTCGACCTGGTTATCCAGGAGCTAATCAATACAGTTAGGCAGTGTACCAGTAAGGTATCGGGCCCTCGGCAGGGTGACTCCTGGCCTTGTGGACGCGGGGGAATGGGGGTTTGGTATCAGGCTCCCAGTGCTGCTCCAGCCTTTGCCCCGCTGGTGCCCTTTCCCCCCAGATTGCCTTAGTTTTCAAGAATGTGGCCTCTTCCCAGGGGCTGGGGCGGGGGCGTGTTGGCCTGGGCGCAGTGTGTGTGTGTGGGGGGGCGGGGTGCGCCAGGCCTCCAGAACTGGCCAGACTGGTGGGCAGGGCTCCCTGGGACCCTGATATCAAGCCTAGCATGTGTCTGATGGAATTGGGGGTTTCATTGGGCTGTCGCTTTGCTGCCTTCTGGGAAGCAGAGAGGGACCCCGTGTCAGCTGTTGGAGGCCAGGCTCCCTGAACGAACCTCCCTGGCTGTCACCCTTTCTTGACAAACGCCTGGCACCCTCGGGCTTTCCTGGAGCCAGCCACTTCTCTGTCCCCAAGGCACCAAGAAAGGCCCGAATGCTAACAGCGTAACGAACACTCGGGTGCCCAGCTTGGCTCCTAACTGCCTCCACCAAGTACCCCTGGCTTCCTCCAGGAACAGAGCTGCCCCCCCAGGCAGCATGTCCTCTGAGCCACTAGGTCACAGGCACCGTGTGCCAGTGTTCACGGGCCGCTGTCTCCACCTGGCAGGACGCGCTGGGCTCCCCCGCAGGCCTGGTTCCCAGGGCAGCACGCTTTGGCCAGGCAGCTGAAGTGCTTCCCAGTGGGCGGTTCGTGCTTGCACGTCCACGGTGGCCGTAGAGCTCTGGGTCGGTCTTCCAAGGCAGGGAAACTCTGCTTGAGCCTTCTGTCTCGGTCTGGAAAAGCCCACATTTGCTTCTTAAGCTTCTTCGATTAGAAAAGGGAGAGAGAGAGAGAAAAACCTAGACGGGGTAGAGATGATCATCCAAGATCGCATTGTCACAGGTGTGGAAATTCAAGGCCTCCACATTCCCTCGGCTGTCTGAACCGTGACACTGACCCCTAGCGCTTCCGTAATGAAAGCCCAGAGCAAGCCCCAGCCTCTCCTCCGACCCAGGACTCCTCTTTGATCCGAAGCAGCTTCCGGGGCAAATGCGGGCACAGCCTCCTACCTGCATGTTACTAACCAGCTGACTCTCCTCTCTTCTCTTTCTCTGTCTCCCATCCCGCGTGTGTGGCCTGCACTGTCCCTGGGTGTCTTTCTACCTCGTCCCACCCTCCGCATGACCCAGGACGGGGCTCTTCACCCCCGACATGGCCTTTGAAGCCATTGTGAAAAAACAGATTGTAAAACTCAAAGAGCCGAGTTTGAAGTGTGTTGATCTCGTGGTCTCAGAACTGGCCACGGTCATTAAAAAGTGTGCCGAGAAGGTAACCGAAGGTTTCGTTGTTATCACCTGCGCATTCGTCCCGCATCTTCTCCCCCTACCCATGTTAGTCTTCACCCACGCATCTGGAAACTCTACCTCAGCAGGAACCCCCTTCTGTGGGCCCCTTGTCGCCCCGCGACGCCTCAACTTTGCGTGGCGGACGAACGGGAGGGAGTTGGGAACGCACGCCTGGTCCACACTCCCAGTTTGGGCTCGGACGGGGACGGGAGGCAGGTGGTGTAGCCAGGTGCAGGCGGTGGGGACCGGCAGGAGTGCCTGTTCCTGGAACCCGTAGAGAAGGGGGGTGGGGGGGCGGCAGGTCTCCAAACTGTCGCCGCAGGTGAAATGCTATCAGCGCGCAGACCTGCGTGTTCATCACGTCACAGGGCGTTTGAGAGGCTTTCCACTAGTGATTTTGAGCACCCGCTCAGTTTTCCCCACCATGTGGACTTCACCCAAACCTCAGAAGGTGGGCTTCTCTGTGCCTTTGGTTTGGTTATGATCGGGGAATGGTTTTCGGCAAGGGGGTCCCTCTGAGGTAGATGGCCCAGATGGCGCCCCCGTCAGCCTGGAACAGGGGCTACTCACTCACGAGCTGGGCGAGAGGTCCCGCCTCACTGGCCTGGTGGCCTTAATTATTATGCTCAGGGTCCTCGCCCTCAGTGCTGGGCGGAGGGGGCCACCATCGCTGCAGGGCAGCAGACACACACAGCGCCCACTTCCTCTGCCACTTTCCATCTTGGAATCCATTCTCAAAAAGCACCTCTGCTCGTGCGTGGGCACCCTGTCACTCTCTCTGGCACACCGTTCCCCCACCGTCCCTTTCTTGTCTCCCAGCTGGAGCAGCTATGAGACAGGAGTGGGGTGGGGACTCGGTGGGCCCACCCCTTGTCACTTCCCCTCCCCCACGTTCTCTGTGTGGTCGTGTCGCTTCCTGTGCCACGAGGACACAGCCAATGCCACCACTCTGCTCCCCCGCCCCCCAGCTCAGCTCCTACCCCCGCTTGCGAGAAGAGACGGAGCGAATCGTCACCACGTACATCCGGGAACGGGAGGGGAGAACCAAGGACCAGGTATTGGCTTTTTGTTTTACCTTTCAGGTGTCATTTATTTGCATAAATCTTTTTTTTTTTTTTTAATTAAAAAAAGTTTATGTGCTTAAATCTTGAGCATACATTTCTTTGAGTAATGACAAATGCATAAAAGAAGGTAACCCCCCCTCCCCCACCGCCCCCTCAGCAAGATGCAGAACCATTCTGTGGCCCTCGAAGTTCCCCGCCTTTACCCCTCCGCAGCCCGCAGGTCCCGGCAACCACCCGTCTGCTCCCTGTTCCCCAAGTTTTGCCTTTCCCAGAATGTCACTTGAGTGGACTCCCGTCGTATGTAGCCCCTTGAGTCTGCCCCCCTTCACTCTGCCTAGCACGTTCAAGATTCATCCCTGTCATTTGTGGTGTTTTGCAGAGTTTGTTGCCGGTGATCACCGCATAGGGTTCCCTCGTGCGTGTGGACCACAACTTGTTTTATCCACTCGCGCTCCCGATGATGCGTGGGTGCTTTTTATGTTCCAACGTTTTCTCGTGAAGACCGAGCGCACACGAGGACAGAGAGTGGGACAGGTCCCCGCACCTGCCGTGTGCCGAGTGAGCCCAAAGCCGGCTGCACGTGGCTGCGTCCGGTCCCGTCCCTTCCCCCCCAGGTCCACTGGGGTCTCTGGGCAGGTGTTTGTTCAAACCAGAACCAGCACAAGCCTCCGCATTGTATTTGGTTGCGATACCGCCGTGTTTCGCGCATCAGTGGAGCAGAAGCTGGCTCCCGTGCGGCTTCCGTAGCCCTGAAGTTGTATCAAAAGCTTCAAAGATTCCCTTTGATTTTGTTGTTGTTTTCAAGAACGTTGCTGTCCTTTTCATACACGCCATGGCGCCTGGTTGCCCCACGGCCAGCACTTCTGGGCTCCATCCCAGGGCTCTGGCCGACGGGGCGCAGGCCTTATAAAACCAGCAACAATGGCTCCCGTGGACAGAGCACCCCAGCGTTTTCCAGCACCCCCACAAAGTCCAAGTGCCTGGCATGTTTGATGCTGGAGGGCTCAGAGGCACAGTGAAACGCCAGGAAAGGGCAGGGTGTTATGTGAAGGCCTGTCCCTTATCTGAGATCACACCCTGACTGGCTCCTGCGGACCTGTGTTTGTGGGTTCCATTCTAACGCCCTTGCCTGGCCACATTATCTTCGCTGTTTGAATGCAGCACTTAACAACACTCCAGGCCCTACTCTAAACACTTCACGTACTGGGAATTATTTAACCCTACACAGCTGGACCTCTTGTTCCTTTCCACCTTCCACCGTCCCGTAACGTGAGGCCAAGGGTCACAAAGTCAGGCAGTGGCCTGGCAAGACTGCAGCCCAGGTGGTCAGCCTAGGCCGTGCCTGCAGCCACCGCTGCACAACGAGCTGCCTCCCCCTGCTCTGTTGGCCCCGTCTTTCTTCCTTGTGAGGCCCTGAAGTTTCAGTGACCCGTGCCCCTCTTCCCCCTACAGATTTACCCCAAGGTTGGTTTGTGTTGGAAGGATACGCGTGGTCCCAGGTCTTCGGCCTGGGAAGCCGTAGGGTTCCAGCTCCCCCTGCTGGCGGGTTGGGGAAGTGCTCTGGCCACTGCCGTCCCCGCCAGCCTCTGCTCTGTACTCACAGTTCCCCTCCTTCTTCCAGATTCTTCTTCTGATCGACATCGAGCAGTCCTACATCAACACGAACCACGAGGACTTTATCGGATTTGCCAAGTATGTACTTTTCAGGACAGCAGCTGGTGGGTGGCACCAATGCCTGCCCTCAGAGCCAGGCCCCGAGGGAGGTGGTTGAGTTGGCTTCCCTCAGCAGACTGGGGCAAGAGGGTCTCTCTGTCAGGGTCTGGGGGGTGAAGCGTAGAGCCATCTGAGAGTATCTGGAAGCTTTCCTGGGCTAATAGCAGCGTCCATCCTCATCGTCCTCAACACGCCTCCTATGGGGCAGACCTGTGGTCAGCCGCTTCGGGAAAGGGTGAGGCTGGCGGCATTCAGTGCTCTCCTTCCTACGTGACTTCTCAGAACCTTCATAAACTGTGCAGCTTTCTCCAGACTCCCCCATCTGCACTTGGCCCTCTCGCAGAACATCTCACAGGCTCCGGGGGCTGCTCGTTGGGAAGCGTGCTGTCCGGTCTAGGCTCTCCGTGGCTCCCATCCATACACCATGGATTCAAAATCAAACCCTTCCATGGCACGTGGATAAGGAAGGTGCCAGAGCAGGGGTCTCTGATTTCAGCAGGGCGTAGATGTAAATGCTGGGGGCCTCGGGCATCGTGCACTGACTCCGTCAGCCCCTGGGTCCACCCTCAGCGAACTTGAGCGTCACATGGATTGCTCTGATGGCCTCCTGAAGGTCTTCTTGCCTGAGCCCAACAGAAGAATCGGTAGCCAGCTTCCTTGCATTCACTTAGCAAGTATTCCTGGTGTGCGTTCTCCGTGCCAAGCACAGAACCAGGTCCCCACCCTCAAAGGAAGGTCCCGTGCCAGAGACAGACACGCAGCCAACCCCTTAAGACCCAGGGTAATCACTGCTGGGGTCAGGGCTGCGTGAGGCTTGTGTTGAGTCCAAGGGGCAGCCTTCCGGCCTGGCCTTGGGGTCGCAGGGAGGCTTCCTTGTGGAGCAGGGCCTGTTAGAACCCAGTCTTGGGCTAGCAGGCTGTGCAAGAGGATCTTTATCTCAGGGGTCTCTGTGCTGGACCCAGCACTTGTGGGTAGGACATCTATCCTTGCACTCAACAGAGTCGGTCAGCTGTTCTTTGCTGGGCACGTGGTAGGTGAGTGGAAGGAAGGAAGGAAGGAAGGAAGGAAGGCAGGCAGGCAGGCAGGCAGGCAGGCAGGCATGATCAGAAGCTGTCCTCGACACCCAGACGAGCCAAGGGCCCTACTTGGGCTGCCCCTGCTATGGGAGGACTGAGGGGCCCTGACCTCCTGCGCCTCTTCCCCCAGCAGCCAGGTGTATGTGGGCGGAAAACGCTGGTCCCCCTCTTTGGTTAGCTGCTGTTTGTGCCTCACCTTGATGTCTCTGCTTCTCACACTTCATCCACAGTTCCTTCTCACAATCTCTCCTGTTTTTCCTTTGACCACTCCACTCTTTCCTCTGGACTCCTGGGCCTTCCCACTTCCCCCAGCTGTTATTATACTGAGCAGCTGGTGACCGGGTGGGTATTGCCTGCTGTGTGCCTTTTTCCTGCTGTGTGAATGGGGTCGCCCTGGCTGGGGGCGGGGCCCAGGGCCCCAGCCTTGGAGGGTGGACGTCGAGGGGGCCCGCTGGACAGCCGTGGAGCACTGTCTCAGAGCTGGGCCCAGGGCAGGGCCCTTGGAGTAGGAGGGTGAACGAGCCGGACTCGGGCCTCGTCCACAGGCCGGACACGTGTTTTTACCGAGCACGTTGTCGCGTGGAAGACCAGAGTTGGAAAGGAGAGTAGGTGAGGGGCTGTAGGAAGGAGGAGCGAGGGAAGTGGCCTGGAGAGACCTTCCCGAGGAAGTCACGACAGCCAGGTGGCAGACAGGCAGAAGACCTAGACGGTGTCGGGACAGGGAAGGGAGGGAAGGGAGACCCAAGACACGGGAGCACGGGACAGCAAGGCAGGGTGGAGGTGAGAGGCCAGGCCCCATTGCCAGGAGGAGCCCTGCAGGCTGAGGGGAGGACTTTGGGCTCCTCCCCCTGCTCCCCTCATCCACCTGAAAGCAAGAAATGTCTGGGGAGCCGGCAAGGGAAAGGGGCACCTACAGGGGCTTCCGGGTGAGGGTGGGAGCCAGGAAGCCCCAAGCAGCACATCTGGGGCCTCGCTGGCACCCAGCCATCACTGTGCGGGGCTTAATCGGTCCTGTCTCCCGCAGACACTGTTGACCGAACTCCTTCCTGGGCTGGATGTTGTCGGCTGCTTTCTCGCTGCCTTCTAAAGATGAAACCCAGGCCCAGAGAAAAAGCTCTGTAATAAACTCATTGAATGCTAGGAAAATTGTTGGATAAATTTTTCCTCCATTCTTTTTTTTTTTATTATTCATTTATTCTGAGAGGGACAGAGACAGTGTGAGTGGGGGAGAGGCAGAGAGAGGGAGAGAGAGAGAACCGCAAGCAGGCTCCGCACTGTCAGCACAGAGCCCAGTGTGGGGCCCGAACCCATGAAACCGTGAGATCGTGACCTGAGCCAAAACCGAGAGTTGGACGCTCAACGACTGAGCCAGCCAGGTGCCCCAGTTCTTTCTCCATTCTTACTCTTCCAACCTTTGCCTGTCTAGGAACGGAAGCCTATTTCCTTAACTCTCTCTCTCTTACTCTCTCTCTCTCTCTCTCTTTTATCCAACAGCCAGCTTGAACTTTCAGGTACAGCCCCAGAGGGAGCCAGTAAAGGAGTGTAACAAGATGGTTAGCCTTGTCATATTCGGAAAGTTCCTAAAACAATGCGTATTCCTAAAGGAATGTCTGATTCCTCAAGCAATACGATAAGAAAAGAAAGTAGGATGCCTGAGAAATAGGAGGTATCAGTTGTTTGCAGATGGGTGGTGCTGTGATTGTCTCTGGAAGATAGGAAGAACAAGGGAGTTGAGGGGGTGCCCACGTGCAAAACGTGTGGCCTTCATCCGCGTGGCACAAACTAGCCAGGAAACGGGGTAGCTGAAGAAGGAAAAAGATCAGGGATTGGAGGCAAATGAAGGACTTTATAGAAACCCTCTGGTGACCTTACCTCTCCTCTGCATTTGGGTCAGAAACCATCCAGAATGTTTTCACAGTGAGCAGCCGTCCCCTGTCCTGATCTCCCAGGGTGGCCGGCTCTGTGGTAGGAGCCACTGAAGACTTGGTGCCAGGGTCAGGGATGGGCAGAGAGAGTGGGAAGGAGCCGCAGTTTGCGCCCCAAACAGCCTGGTTCTCAGGTTACTCTGCAGCCACCATGACTGCCTCCCAGCCACCTGGGAGTCCAGCTTCTCGGGCCCCGCCTTGGAGGCTCTGGGGCCACTGACCCCTGGAAATAGCTGGTGCCCTTGGAAGTGGCTGAGGTCAGGACCCCGAAGCCTCAGTTTGACTGAATACATCTTCTCGTTGCATGAGCCCGAGCTCTTTCCCTTGGGTAACCCTTTGTGTGGAAGGTGCTTCTCTCTGCCTCTGCCCTGAGCTGGCCACTTGGCCCCCACAAGGGAGAGAACCTCACTTCATCCTTCCCAGCGTGTCGCCACACGAGTCCTCTCTCTGCTTCATTTTCAGCGCCCAGCAGAGGAGTACACAGCTGAACAAGAAGAGAGCCATCCCCAACCAGGTAGCCCGCCCCTCCACAGCCCACAGCTCTAGCCTTGGGGGCGGATGGGACTTAGGGACCGCTGAGACCAGTGACGGTACCTGGCTCGTGACACGTCCCGCCAGACCCCTTACTCCCACTCCCAGCCTCTTGAGTCTGTGAAGGTTTGGGTGTTTCAGCAAACCTGTCTTTGAACTAAAGCTCTGGCCCAGGCTGTGGGGGCACATTTGCACACCCAGAAGGCCCTGTCTGACATCCAAGGCCACGGTTAGAACTTGACCCCCAAGAGAGGGGCATGGGTGTCTGCAGCCGAATTGGGTTCCCAGCCCTAGCCCCAGGAGACTCGGAATCTGTGGGAGGGGGGGCGGGAGGCCACGTGGTGGTCAGCGGTTCTGGGGAGCCTGAGGGTCCTGTGAGCCCCATTCCTGGAGAAACCCAGAGCCACATGAAGCGTTCTCTACCTTGATGTCATGCCCCAGCCAGAGGCCTTGTGAAATATGAACAGCTTCATATATACCAGTGTTAGGTGCCTCCTTTTTTT